AAGCAGTGATGCCTGAAATGGAGCCAGAGATGATGATGTGGAGCGATGGAGCAGCTGGAGACTTTAGATCCAGAGAGGGAGAGTGACTGTGTGCTGAAGACCTGGGGGTACGGGGGAAGGATTGCATGGAGGGGATTGTAACCATGGCAATGAGACAATATACGATAAGATGAATGTAAAACTAATGTTCTCCCATGTAAACTATCACATAATTCACAATAAAACATTTAAGAAAAAAAAAAAATACTCTATTATGTTAGTGCAGGCACAGCTGGGATTCGAACCCAGGATCTCCTGTTTACTAGACAGGCGCTTTAACCAGCTAAGCCACGGCGCCGGCTATCGTAGTGGTTACGGAATCAGTTTGCGAACCGCAAGGTCAGCAGTTGGAAACTACCAGCTGTTCCGCGGGAGAAAGATGAGGCTTTCTGCTCCTGTAAAGATTTACAGCCTCAGAAACCCTGTACAGGGTCACTATGGGTCAGAACTGACTCGACGGCACTTAACAACAACAACACAACAGTAATAGAAAATGTACACATTGTCTAGCATAAGCCTTCAATAGACTGAAATGGAAGCCATGCAGTTTTTCACATCTCGTTGTTCCCAAAGGTAGAACTGTGAGATTTTACTGTCATAGGTTTTTTCTGTCCTTTTCACCCATTTGTTGTTGTAGTTGTTAAGTGCTGTGGAGTCGGTTCCGACTCACAGCGACCCTGTACAGGGTTTCCAAGGTTTCCAAGGCTGTACATCTTTACAGGAGCAGAAAACCTCATCTTTCTCCTGTGGAACAGTTGGTAGTTTCAAACCGACCTTGAGGTTCACAGTCCGGTTTGTAGCCTCTGTGCTACCAAAGCTCTTATATGATCCTTCTTTCTCCATTTTGAATTGGTTGGCTCCAAGAGATTCAGTCTATTGTGTGATCTTCTTGATGCAGAGCTTATAGTATTTTTGTAAGCATTTGAAATATGCTTTTTCTTGTTTTGTTTTTAAAACCAGCACTTTTTCCAGATCATTAGTGAATAATAGAATTTTTATTTTTCATGTGTGTGCACATTTACTTGTTGGTTACCTCCCAGATGCAATGTACTCTGCTATGTCCCTGTGAGACATAAAGCCCAGAATTTGATGACATTCCACGTGGGGAGTTTCATGTGTATGTGCACACTACAGAGCAATTAATGACACTGAGAAACAAGATGATTAGGGAGATTAGAAGGGAAAGAGATTGGATTCACCTGAGGCAACCATGGCACCATTAAAAACGGATCCTCAGATTTTATGTTGAAGATTGTATCATTCAGAGACCACATAAGGAATAGAAACACTAATAATGCAAGGTAACTGAGAAGACATCAATAAAAGGATTTTTGACAGCATGAGGTAAAAAATCTGAGTACCCAACATGCTATGGAAACATCTCCCAAAGCTAGCAAAATGGCAAGGAAGTTGTTTCCACAGCTAGGTGTGAAGGGAGGGCGTGATTACCAGACCCAGAATGCACTCTAGGTTTAGTTGCAACTCCGAGGAGCTGCAAATTTTCTAAAGAACTGCAGCCATGCTAACCAAAAGCCTGACAGGGCAAGAATGGGGAAAACAAATGTTCCAATCCACTCTCCTCCAGCTCTCTGATTTCCTACCAATATTCTGTTAGCTGAACCCAAGTGGGAGTCAGAGAGTAAACCCACAGAGGTTACCTCCCTAGAGAACAAAGGGGGATAGAGAATAATGAAATAGAGGCGTAAATGGAGACCACGCAACCCAAAGGAATTCTGGACTTCTGAAATCTAGGTTGAAGGACCTGATAGGCACCTGGATTTGAGGTGAGAGTGAAGAAAAAAATGTTAAACTATCCCCATTTCTACTACCACATTCCACAATTACCTGAAGCCTCACCTCACAAGAACTATCTTTAAGCAGCATAAATGTCCGACAACCTGGTGATTTCGTTTTTTTAAGATTTCAGTAGAAGAAAAATGAAACTGGTGGCAAAGATTAATTTTCCTCTCTTACAGCCTTCTAGCAGCAGGTGGAGGAAACCGCTGAACTGCCAATGTGGTGGCTCATGGTTTTGCCAATCTCTTAACATTGAACAAAAAGACCCGCTAAGAAATTCTACTACACTATCCAGATTCTGAAAAGCTCTTCATAAAGAAAGCCAGGTACCTTTACCTTTAAAATTCCATTGTTGTTGTTGTTAAGTGCCGTTGAGTCGATTCCAGCCCATAGGGACCCTGTATAGAGTTTCTGAGGAGCAACTGGTGAGCTTGAACCATCCACCGTGAGGTTCAAACCAACTTTGCAGTCCAGCACATTAACCCAAGTGCCACACCAGGACTCCATTAGACCCCACTGTTGTTGGTAAGTGCCGTCAAGTCGGTTCCAACACATAACAACCCTGTATAGGGTTTCTGAGGAGCCTCTGGTGAGCTTGAACCACTGACCTTGCTCCATTAGAGATGAGATTAATTTTAGTTTGTAAAACCTAGGACCAGAAGAATTGTATCATGATGATAATGTAATTCACTTAACCTGTTAATGTGCCCATTAAAAACAAACTACGATGTGTTTTCTTGGTAGATTTTGCCAGAATTCTAACAGAGCTATCTTAAGTAGCTTTTCTCTTCTATTCACAGAGCGCTTCTAAGGCAGAAGGCTAAACCATAGAAGCAACCCCTCCAAGAAAAGGACTTGCCTTTCTCTTCCCACCTAATGAAGAGACACCATGAATGTTTAACGCTCTACCTGGAGGTACAGGAAAAGCAGGGCTTGCTTGACTACTCAAACTGAAAGAGAACAAACAACTCAGGTAATACCCACTGCCATCAAGGTAATTCTGACTCCCAGCACCCTATAGGACATATTCAAATTGATCCATAGGGTTTCCAAGGCTGTCAATCTTTACAAAAGCAGAGTGCCTCATCTTTTGCCTGTGGGGCAGCTGGTAGATTCAAACTGACTACCTTTCAGTTAGCAGCCCAACATTTAACCTGTTGCATCCACCAGGGTTCTTTCCTCAGGTAATGTCGGCAGTTCAAGCTCACCAGTCACTCCTCAGAAATCCTATACAGAGTCTCTATGTGTCGAGACTGACTCAATGGCACTTAACAATGGGAGGTTCTAATGGACAGAGCAATGCATTAAGTTTGCCCCAGCAAACTCTTCTGTTAATTCCATATCAGAGACTGGGGTAGTCTGGATTAACTGACTGCTGGAGTTAATGCGCTGGACTGCAAGATCAGTTTGAACCACAAGATTGGCACCTCAGAAACCCTCTACAGGGTTGCTATGGATTGAAACCAACTCAGTGGCACTTAAGAACAACAACAATTAACTGCTATATATGTAGCACTTCTATTTTTAAAGCTATATTCCCAAATATCATCACATTTTATCCTTATAGGTTTATTATCGAGGGTTTTGATGTTCGTGTGCAGAGAGAAACATATAGTTATAGCTCAAGCACCTCTGAGATGAATGAAGAAGATTGTGCTAGAAGAGAGATGTAAGTTTCCTCTTGTGTTCTCTGTGAGTTTATTTAGGAGAAATACCATAGCATTTTTATAGCATTTGGTTAATTCTATTTTTATTTAAAAAATAAATGTTCAAAGAGAAAAAAGCGAGACTGAATTATTAGCACCAAGTCTAGTAATTCAGAGTATGAGGACCAATAACAAAAGAATTCCTTTGCAGGGACAAAAAATGCAATCCAAGCCAACCCTGTAAATCAAAAGTGACAGCTCAGTCCTACTCTCCAGCATATAAGAAAACTTGACAGTCAGATATATAGGGAGACATGATTCTCATATTAACTTAACTCAGAGGGTCCTTCTCTTAGCAATGATTCTTAGCCATTGAATGCTAACAAAAAGAATCTGAAGTCCTTGGTTTTGATTCAATGCCAATTGTTTGTAACTTCCAGAAGAAGTGAAAACTCCGAAGGAAGACAGGGTAAAAGAAAAGAATGCAAAGATAAAGGAAGAAAGCCAGCAGAGAAACCACTGGGCAGACCCAAATATGAAGCAAGTCCGATTACAACACGCTAAATGCCTCAGTCAATTAGAAGGGCAGTTTTATTACCCAGAGAAACCTACCCATCAATCACTCATCATCAGCATGGCACCTTCTGCTGAGGCTGGAGAGGAAGTTCTAACGATTGAAGTCAAAGAAAAGACTAAGCAATAAATGTTTGATTCTCTTTAGATATAATCTAGTTTGTTCCCAAAGAGAATGTACCCAGGATTGTAGCTTAAAATAATGAGGGGGAAAAGACCTAGCCTGTACCCTTGAGAAACCACAAGCAAATCCCTAGCTTAGCTTCTAGGGCTTTTCTGAAAATGTGATTTTATGCAGCGGTAATAAGATTATTATAAACCATCCCTATTCTCCATTATCATTAGCTTTGTGCAGTTGCTATTTCTTCTAACTGCAGTAAGTTTTTTTTTTTTTTTTTTTTTTTTATGTCTCCTACTCTTTCCAGAGGAGTTTCTTGCCTCCATTTTGATTAGCTTGATCTTCTCTGACATGATTCATTATTCTTATCTCTTAAATTGGGGGGGAGGGGCGCGCAGCGGGCAGGCAGGCGTGTGTAAGTGTGTACATTCCTGTATGACATTGTCATTCATGGTTTAAAGTTCCATATACATAAATATTATCTCTTATCAAGAGATTAAGATTTTCATTAAATATGGCCAGTCAGGTGATTGTCATTCAGATGAGGGTAACTGGTCACTATAATATCTAATCAACCAAGCAGCTAGATCTGAAAGAAAGTAGAAATCATAGATCATTCTGGATGAGAAATCTGACCTCCAGAAGATTCTACTGAAGAACAATGCTGGTCAGCAGGACTAACCAACTGACAAAATCCCATTGCAGCAATATGTTGGAAGAATTGCAGTCTTTGCTAACTGAAATGAACTTTAGTATTTTCCCCTTACAATCTACCTAAGTTACCTGGACTTAACAGGAATCAAATTTCCCTGTCATACATGCTAAAGTGACAGTTCTCAGAATCTTCTTCAAGTTCTTCATTGAAAAAGCAAGCAATCTGAGCTTTTTGTTTTATGCTCTAGCAAAAAGTGAGGAGGTTAGGAAGGCCAACTGTACACATGTCAGATTGACATATCCTCACAATTTGCAGAACCTACATGTACAGCTGTTTACAAAATCTCCAAGTTAATTAAGTGCACTTTAGGAAGTTGTCCTCATGAATCAGCTAGCATTAGCATAATTACCAAAGCCTCATGCTGTGAGGAGGCTAAAAAAGCCAGGCTAATGTCGGAAGTAATAATACATATAGAATTCCATTCTAATAAATGCCATTAGTGTATAACATCAAGTTCTGTATAATAAGGCTATTTCCAAGTCCCAGAAGATGGTCATTGTAACAGCACTTTGCTGAGATTGTTTTAACAAATTTTATTAGTGAAAAAGCCTAAACATAGATGCATTCAGCAAACCATGTACAAATCAATCACTATAATGACTTGTATCATTTGCTAGAGTTGCCATGTTGGAATATAGTGGTTGAGTAACATAAAACATGACAAATTTTACAAAAGGTTGTTTGGTGTTGCTTAAGATTTGAGGAAATACGGAGAAATGGTTAAATAGCACTTACTTGAGAAAGGATATTTGTGTGAAAAGATTATTAGGAAAGCTATAAAAGACAGTGAAAAGGAGTCTGAAAAGATTTGATGATAGGAAAAAACAAAAGGAGAAAAAAAAATCTAGAACTTGTGAACAATTTGCTCTCCCCCTTATACTTTGTAACTGGATTCAGAAAAAAATTAACAATATAACATCATTGCCAGTTATGAACTTCCTGTTGTTTATTTGCCCTCCCAAACTATCTTATATAATCATAATTATTCTGATCCCTCAGTCCAAAATCTAAAAATAATCAGCAATTTTTTTCATTACCTATATAGTCACTAAATCCTTTGTCTTTCTTAAAACTTTATTATTCTTTTCTTCCCAAGCCCAATGTCAACACATTACTCCATATTTTCTGTTCATTTCAAATAAATACTTCCTTTTCACCTACATCTGCGCTAATCACTGACCTACCCCCTCAGTCACTTGGCCATGGAAAATCAGATATTTCTAAAACATGACTTTCCATCGTGTTACTTGTCTACTCAGGTACCTACCTGCTTGTCCCTTCAAACAATTTTAAGCCTTAGCTATACAAATTGAATGACCACTTCTGCCATCCATATTCTCCACTCAAGAGGGTCTCTCCCTGCTTCTTCTTGAACCAGCTTCCTTTACTTCTTTGGCCTTTATCCAGTCTGTTTGTCATGCTTTGGAAGTTGCCCTCTCCTCCATCACTTACCTCTTCTCTATATTTCTGAATCTAGTCTCACTGTATGTCTCCATATTCCCTCAAATCTTAAAAAAACACCAACCAACCTTTTGTAAAATGTGTCATGTTTTATGATACTCAGACACTGTATTCCAACATGGCAACTCGAAAAACATCAACCCATGACATTTCTACTCTGTAGTGTTTACCTTTACAGGAAGTAGCACACAGTACATTACTCCATTTTTCTCTGATTTCTGCTTAATTATAAGTTATTAAAAGGGCAAAGCCTAGCTCTTATGCTATAAAGCTTTATGCTTGATTTGTATAAAATTAGAAAGCACAGATTTTAAAAGGAAGAGAAATATGAATGAATAATTCATAGAAAAAACAAATAGGCAATTGACATAAAAAAAGATGCTTGACTTCACTTGTGCTCAAAAAATATAAATCGTATCAATGGAATTCTGCTTTATAATTGTTGTTGTTAAGTACCATGGAGTCAGTTCCGACTCATAGTGACCCTGTACAGGGTTTCTGAGGCTGTCAATCTTTACAGGGGCAGAATGCTTCATCTTTCTCCTGCGGAATGGCTGGTAGTTTCAAACTGCCAACCTTGAGGTTAACAGCCCAATTCGTAACCACTATGTTACATAAAACAACATGGATACCAAAATCAAACCCAGTATCATCGTGTAGATTCCAACTCATAGTAACATGGATAAAGCCTATAAAAAAAATACTAGTGGGTGTGGATTTTTTTAAAAGAAAGAAAAAAATTTTTAATACAGTAAAATCTGAGAAACTTGGAATCTGTGTAAAGTGCTAAACCATCTGAGAAGGAAAATTCAAATATGTTTCACAGATAGGGAGCAATAGAAAGGTGGTAAGACTGTACCTTTCAAGATTCAGGAAAATAAGACATTCTCAACAAATTCAAGGAGCTCTGGTAGCACAGTTGTTATGAGCCAGGCTGCTAACCTCAAGGTCAGCAGTTCGAAACTACCAGCAGTTCTGTGGGGAAAAGATGAGGCTTTCTGCTCCTGTAAATACAACATTCTTATCAACAGAGAAAAAATTGAGGTTGTCAAGGACTTCATTCTTCTTGGAACATTCGCGGAAGCAGCAGTCGAGAGATCAGACAACGTATTACTGCATTAGGCGAATCTGCTGCACAGGAACTTTTAAAGTGTTGAAGAACAAAGATGTCAGCTTGAGGACTAAGGTGTGCCTGACCCAAGCCATGGTATTTTCAATAGCCTCATATGGATGTGAAAGCTGGACAGTGAATAAGGAAGATCATAGAAGAATTGATACTTTTGAATTGCGGTGTTGTAGGAGAATACTAAAAGTGCCATGGACTGCCAAAAGAACCAATAGATCTGTTTTGGAAGAAGTGCAACCAGAGTGCTCCTTGGAGGCCAGGATGGCTAAGCTTCGTCTCTCATACTTTAGACATACTGTCCGGAGGGAACAGTCACTGGAAAAGGATGTCATGCTGGGTAAGATGGAGGGTCAGAGAAAGAGAGGAAGACCCCCAACGAGATGGATCGGCCAGGTGGCATCATTGATGTTATCGAGTGTGGCACCGGTAGTGAGGTTGGCTCAGGATCAGACATTGTTTCGTTCTGCTGTGCATGGGGTCACTATGAGTCAGTTCCAACTTGATGGCACCTGACAACAACAACAACAACAAAGATTTACAGCCTTGGAAACCCTGTTTCCAAGGGTTGCTATGAGTCGGAACCGACTCCATGGCATACCTCCACCACCATCAGCGTCAGATTCTCACAGGTTTCACTATACCACCATACATGGAACGGTGATAGTAACAGGTAAGTGCGCAGATACTAACCAAAAAATTGGCTTTTCGAACTCACCCAGTGACTCTTCATGAGAAAAGAACTAACCATCCGCTCCCATAAAGATTACAGCCTAGAAATTCTTATAGGGCAGTTCTACTCTAACACATGAGGGCAGTATGAGCCAAAATTAACACCACAGCATTTAATAACAGCGACATATTTTTATAAGGCCCATCTGATAAAGTCCATCAGGGACAAATCTGTAGTTCAACAATGGCAGGTTTATTATATTGCTGCAACAAGGGAGACCGATCACCAGAATAAACATTGTTGTCCCATCAAACACAGAAACAGGTAGGATTCTTTTAGGATAGGTAAGGATTCAGTAGACTTTAAATGAAACAATTTAATGGTTCATATAAAACAGGGCTGAATGCAAAGGGCTTGAGCTGAAAATCATACTCAACATCCTGTTTCCCAAAAACTAAGTGAAAGTCTACATGGAATGCTGTGGTGGAAACTCTTTGTTTGAGTTGTACACGTGGCTCCCTCGCTGTGTCAAAATGACTCAGATCCTCTAGACAAAAATAGGATGTTTCTGTCTCACTGATAAGATTTTATACAGCAAAATTTCTGAAAAGCTCTCATTTTAGAGAGCAAAGTTTCCAAGCGCTATGTTCTTTTACTGATTAACAAAAGCAATTTTTACAGATTCCCAATTTGAAACGTATATAAAACTAGGTATATTCATAAATACCCACTTACCTAAGGCACTATGCTAATTGCATTGAACAGAGTGAGTGTGGGGCAGAGGAAACTGGAAATGGTAATAGATATAGAAGATACCATGAGAATTAAATAAATCATGGGCACCAACCAATGATGATAGCATGTCATGGTTTGTTGGTTATTTGCCAATACTCTTCTAAACACTGTACCTCTATTAACTTAATTAATATTCATAGTAACCCTGTTGTCATCATTCTTAGTTACCTTGAGTTGATTCTAGTAACAACCCTATAAAGTAATTATTATTTTTATAATCTCCATTTTCCAAATTAAGTAACTGA